AGAGAGAGAGAGAGAGAGAGAGAAAAAGAGTGAGTAAGTGAGTGAGTGAGAGGGCAGAGAGAGAGAGAGAGAGTGAGAGAGAGAGAGAGAGAGAGAGAGAGAGAGAGTGGGTTGGGGGGGGGGAATCAGATGGAGTCTGATCGGCGCCAACATCGGCGACGCGCAAATACAGAAACGAAAGTCAAGCTGCTCGTTACTGATTGCAAGTAGGTGACGAGTGTGCCTGTGAATGAGTTCTCGGATTGCCATGTGCTGTAGCCTCGCGTTTCAGTCTCTGTTTGAGATGCACCTTAGCGTGCCTCTTCTTTTCGTCGCTCCTAGCAAACTTTCGTCCGCACTGATCGCAACAAAACGGCTTTTCGCCTGTGTGAGTGCGTACGTGGGTGGTTAAATGGTCGCTCCTCGAAAAGGAACGCATGCAGATACGACATTGGAACGGTTTTTGTCCTGTGTGGATTCGAATGTGCCGGGTTAATTCGTCGCTTCGCGAGAATCTACGGTCACAGCCGTCAACCGGACAGGCGTAAGGGCGCTCGTGAACCGGTGTTTTGCTCGGTCGATTCGGATATTTTCGCGGTTTAACTGGTACCAGCCTGAGGGGTAGGGCGCTCTGTTGATACACCTGCGATAGAATTTCGTGGCCCTTCGACGTGCTAGGATTGTACTCTGCTAGTTGGACACCGGTAGTACCGGTTGGTTGTTGTTGTTGTTGTTGTTGTTGCTGTTGTTGCTGTTGTTGTTGCTGTGGTTGAGGTCCTTGAGGTGGTGGCGGTGGTTGCTGTTGTTGTTGTTGTTGCTGTTGCTGTTGTTGTTGAGGTTGTTGGACGGTACTAGGGTAACCGCTCGTGCCCGTTGGCTCCTGCTTAAGCGCAGTCTCCTGATGATGATGATGAGAATGATGATGGGAGAGAAGACCAGGGTCGTAGGTTTCCTCGTGTGGCGTTAACCACGCCGATGGGGTCGTCGTTGGTGTGTCGTGGTAACCGGGAGGTGGAGGTGGTTTCGATTCGACCTGTAGTAGCTCGACCGTCTCGTTTCCGTAGGGGCTTGAGTGGAGGGTCGGGTGGAGAAAAGTTTGCCCGGTTAATGTCAATGTCGGCGAGGGTAGAGGAGCCCAAAGTTCTTGGTTACTGGTCTGCGGCTGTTGCTGCTGCTGTTGTTGAGTCTGTAGACTGTTAAGCGGCGGCGACTGCGTACAGGTAGTCGTAAAGACACCACGGTAGGTTAAGGTCGGAACGTTGCAAATGTTGACGCTTGTTGCGGCGGTCGTTGAGACCGACGACGTGGAATGAGGCGAGGAATATAGTATAACGCCGCCTTGTAAAACGTTACAACGATCCGCATCTTCCTGAGTTTGATGATGACGCGACGGACTATCAGAGGATGGTCCACCCGTCGTACCGCTATCCTGTGTTTCTTGATGATGGTGATGATGATGGTGATGCGAACGATGATCCCTACTGGCTGGACCACCGTTCTCGTCTTCCTCCGCTGTTGCCTCTTCCAAAGAGAGGTCTTCGCCCGCCAGGCTGCCTGTAAATCGTCAGGATTCCTCGATTAGTATTATTCATTTCGTCGCGCATTGCTTCCAATCTTATTATTACGAGTTTCTCATGCTCGCGTACATATGCAGGCATGTACTATGCACAGAATAGAAAATAGAATTATTATATCGTGCGATTCATTGAATCCTTTATATGTGCTCATTGTTTTTGTCACCAGGTTCAGTATACGCCGAGAGGCGAGCGAACTGGCAGGAAGAGTCATGCGATACGGGGGTGAATTTATCTTCGAGTCGAGAGCGTACTGACTAGTCCTATCTGTCGTCTGCATCCTGCCGGTTCGTTACTTCCTTCCTACGTACACAATCATTCTTTAACTCTTCTTTCTCTCTCTCTCTCTCTCATTCTCCCTCCCATCCTCCCCCCTCTCTCTCTCTCGCACTCTCTTTCTGTCATTTTACGAAAATAATGACAAACACTAGTACGAAAACTTTGAAACAAGATAATAGGCATTCGAAACTATCAAGTCTTGGAGGTATGGAAAATGGTATACATTTTAAAGGAAAATCATAAATAGAAATAGCACTAGGTCCGATATATTTAAATGTGGTTAAATATAATGATGTGTAAAAAAAAAGAAGACAAAGAGAGCAAGAACGAGAGAGCAAGAGAGGGAGAGAGAGAGAGAGAGACAGAGAGAGAAGGTGAGAGATAAAGAGAGAAGGAGAAAGAGAGATAAGGGAAAGAGAGAGCTTAACGGGAACGGTTTTACAATAAAAACTAGCTGGTGGTGGGTGTAAAGGTATCGAAGGGAGAGACGTTCGGTGGTAGAGAGAGAGAGAGAGAGGTGGGGTTCGCTTGGAAGCATGAATGAACCTAGCAAGGGATGGCAAGAGGAGTTGGAGGAAGAAGAGGAGGAAGAGAAGGAGGAAGAAGGTGGTAGAGGGAGGAGAGGAGGTTTCTGAATGTCGGGGTCGCCGAGTATTGATCCGCAACAGCCGGACACGTTCGATATTAGCTGTTCTCGCGACTCCAGCGATATGAGTACGTCAGCGGTGTCGTATCACAAAGTTTTCGTTTTTTTCTTTTTTTTTTTTTTTTTTTTCTAAAACGAGAACGGGAGACTCAATTATTTCATGGCGATACGATGACTGTATCACATTGATCTTTGAGAAAGATCGTGCCGAGCATCGAACGAAATCCTCGGAAAAAGGAGGGACGTTCGTATGTGATAGCCGGTTTACCGACAAGGGTATCAGGAGTGTACGGAGGTCGCGTGCTTGGAAGGAAAGCGAAAGTTCGCTTTCCACGATGCACCGACGAGACGAGAGGGTGCAAGGCCAATTGATTTTCAGTTGAAAGCCGAGAACCTTGCATCGATGCTTTCTCTCTCTCTCTCTCTTTCTTTCTCTCTCTCTCTCTTTTCTTGATTTTTACTTTCACGCTGACTTTTCTTTCTTTTTTTTTAATCCATATTTATAACAGAAATCGTAATACGATTGAAGTGGTAGTAAAAGGGTAGTGTTACACACACACACACGCACACCCATATATATATATATATATGTATGTATATATTATATATGTATATATGTATATATGTATGTATATATTATATGTCATTTGTCTTAGATCAAAACAAAATGGTAGTAGGAATATAGGAAGATCGGATAGGTTTGTTGGGACGGTATATAGGTACCTGAGATCGGTGGCGGTTCGACCAGTGCGGAGGGGCCAAAGAAGGACGGTAGATCGCTGCTGGTGGTAACCGGCGTGTTCAGGTCACCGGGCTTGTCCTTCTCGTTTGGGTCTTGGAGATCGTCGTTGCAGTTCCTGGTATAATCTTTGTCATTGTCATCAGGTTGCCGGTGTCTTTTAGTAACATCGTTAATGTCGCCCGGCGAAGAGCACGGCGTGTCGACGTGACAATGATGTTGGTGATCGTCCAGTCGATGATGATGATGATGATGATGGTGATTGTGATGATGATGTCGGGCGTGGGAGTGATCGGACGAGTCAGACGAGTTATTTTGATGCTGCGAGTGCAGTGGCACGCAGGAGGTTAATGATAGGGTCGGTATGGTCTTGGTCGAGGCTGTTGCCAAGGATGCACAGGAGGATGCTGTGCTGGCGGGGCTCGAAGTAGCGCCGACACCGCAGCCCACCGATGCCGACGTCGAGGAAGAAGCGTTGTACGGTAAACAGGCGTCAAAACTTAGCTGTACCGTTTGTAGATTGAAGGTCGCGTGATGATGGTGATGATGATGATGTCCTAAAGGAGGTGAAGATAAGAGAAAAGGGCTGGTGGCCGCGTGAGGTTGCGAGCCCACCACCTCCATGCCGTCCATCGTCATCCTCTGAAGCAGCTGATCGCCTGTCTGAGCGTCGACGGTCGTCTCCTCGGTGTTACTGGTGCCGGTGGTGGTGTTGGCGGCGGCGGCGGTGGTCCCGGTACTGGCGCACTGCGTGTCCTCGCCTGTGGTCGTATCGTTCAACGCAATTATTATGGTTATTTACCACTTGCTCCTTCCTCGGTTGGCCCGACTACACAACGACGAGAAAATGTTTTCTCTAGAGTTGAGTCGCGCGACAACCCCAAAGTGAAATTAACCCACTCCACCCGCGAATGTTCCTGTCACTTTATATATACATATATATATATATACATATATGTAAGTATGTATATATATATATATATATATATATATATATATATCTTTCTCTCTCTCTATCTTACTCTCTCTATCTTTCTCTTTTTACTTTTTTTTCTCTCTCTCCCTTTTAATCGTCTACGTCACTGAATTAATAGCGATCTCAAGCACTTGGGACACGCGCGCGCTTCTCTTTTTCATTCGTCCCCCGACACGCGCGTTCCGCGTCGCCTAAGAGCTTGTTTAAAGGTGCGAGAGGACTCGACGCCGCCCGGAAAAACTTGTCTTCGCGCGCGATACCAGCAGTACGACGACGACGACGACGAGGACGACAACGACGAATACCGCGCCGGCACGTACCAGATGAACGAGAACAACACCGCGACAAACTAAGAGCACAAGTCAACTTCTCTCTCTCTCTATCTATCTCTGTCTCTTTTTCTCTCTTTCTTTTTCTCTTTCTCGGCACGATCCGGTGTCCGGTTCGCTTCTCCCGTATCCTCCTCCAGCACCGGTCGCGCCGATACTACGAACTCCTCGACGCGTTCTCCTCCCTCTCAACGCGAGAAGAGGGAGGTTGGGGAGGACTACCGGGTGGGGGGTGGTGTGAGGTGGGTAAGTAGGTAGGTAGGTAGGTAGGTATCTCTCTCAGTGGTAGGAGAGTCACTCCTCCTACCTACCAAAATATTATCACAGTAATCACCGATAGGTCCCCTTTGTCGATTCAAGAATGAAGTCGATTTATTTAATGGGAATTATTTGCTGTGATCGTTCGCAAATTATTAAACGAAAACAAAAACGAAAGTTAGGAATAGTAGTATAACGATTATTAGAAGACAAAGTATGT